CCGGGTCCCCTCCGCCGCCCCGGCCCCGCTCCCACGAGCCCCGCGCCCTTTCCGGCGGGCGCTGACAGCCCCGGCGCCGGAGAGCGAGCGGTGGGTCCTCACCGCCGCTCCGGGCACCCTCGGGACGGGCATTCCCGGCGCCGCAGCCCGGCCCGCGCTGCCGCCGCAGGCCCCGGCCCGGTTCCTTACCGGGGCGCTGCTGCGTGTCGGCGGGCCGGCTGGCGCGGGGTGCCGGGTGCTGCTGCTCGGCGCCCTGCGCGGCCGGCACGGCGGCCGGCGGCATCTCGCCCGCTCGGATGACCATGGGCCCGCCGAAGGACAGCGCCGTCCGCCCGCCCACGTGGTGCGGCCCCGCCGCCGCTACGGCGCCCGGCAAGGCCCAACCCCCGCGCGCCCGCAGCGCCTTAAAGGGGCCGCGCGCGCCGCCGGGCCCGGCCCCGCACGGCCCCGCTCGGCCCCGCGGCACGCGGGGTGCGGCCCACGGAGACCCCCCAAACACCGGGGAAGGTCACCGGCCGCCTGCGTCCTTCCCGGAGGCTGCAAGGTCACCGTGCGGCGCGGGGGTCCCGGGGTGACCCCGAGCAGAGCCCGGGGCCGTGCGGCGGAGCGGGGAGAGGCGAGCGGGGAGAGGGGAGAGGGGAAAGGGGAACGGGACCCCCGGCTCCGCTCCCCTGCCCTGGGACACCTTCCCTCACGGGCTGCTCCAGGCACCGTGGCACCGAACAGGTTATATCTCTGTAAACAGGAGTCTGCAGCCCCGGGAAATGTTGGGAATATCTTTAATTGTAACAAATAATGGTTGGTGATAGTAAAAAAAAGAAAAAAAAACAAGCAAAAATAAAACTGAACAAAAACAACAACAAAAATCCCAACCAAAACAAAACAAAACTTACAACCAAACAAGTTTTCTTAAGAAAGGATGTTCTTTGATGTTTGGTCTTTGTAACTTTCAAGCCTAACCAACAAGAAGGGATATTGAATCCATGAAAAGCATAGTAGCTAACAAGCAAGCTGTAAGTGATGTCCATGTGTTGGAAAAACAAAGTTTAGGGCTCGACATGATTCAGTGATCTAAGACCTGGGGGAGGAAGTTAACACAGCTTGGGAGGAAGGATGTTTCCATTAAAAATGGACACAGAGTGCAGAATTTATGGGCCACAAGGACATTTGACAGGACTCCCAAGATAAGGAATAACTAATAAAACTAGTGATTGTGCTGAAATCAGCTCCAAATGGGTAGAAGGTAATTCTGGTAGGGGGAGTCTGTGGCCATCAACCCACTGACCACTGATGCTAGAAATCAACTGACCCAAAAGAAGAGAAAAAGACTAATCAGCATGGGAAGCGGGGAATCATTAACCAATAGAGAACACTAATTAATAAGAGAACTATGTCATTTGTAGCCAATGCACACTAATTCCTTTGTTTGCCAAAATGTACAAATTGTTAAAAGTTTTGATAATTGCCATACATGTCAGGTGGAACAATCCCTCATGTACCCAGTGCTAAATAATGTCAACTTTCTAACCAAACAAACTGGTTGGAGAATTTATTTCCCCTTTCTCTGTGTCACTGTCTGGCCTTGAACACTTCCAAGAATGGGACAGCCACAGCTTCCTTGGCCAACCTGTGCCAGGCCCTGCCAGCCTGACAGGGAACAATTCCTTCCCAATATCCCATCTCACCCTGCCCCTGGCAGTGGGAAGCCTTTCCTCCTTGGCCTGGCACTCCAGATATAATGATAATAATTATAATAATATAATAATGATCCCCCCGTCCACCTACAGGCCCCTGTGAGAAGGGGGGTGTCCCTCTGAGCGCTCCCTGTGCTGTGCAGGAGCTCTGGGGGAGTGAGGTAGGAGCAGGGACAGGGACAGAGATGCTTCTGGTTCGTGGCTGGAGGTCCTGCATTCCGGGCTAGGACAGTACCAGCCTGCAGATTTCAGTCTCTTTATTAAGAAAAAGGCATATTACAACAACTTCTAAAGTACAGCTCCATACTCTAGTCTCTGGGTGTTAACACATTCTGAAAAGCACTTGGTTAAAAAGCAAAGTCGACAAGAATATCATCCTGGCAAAAAAAAAAAAAAAAGGTGACATGTAGCAAAATGAACATTCAAATAAAGCAGAGCAGTGTCAGACCTTTGGCATGTGTCCCTCTGCCTCCCCAGCACGAGGCACAGGCGTTTATTGTTCTCACTGAGCTTCGCAAACTCAGCCAAGGACAATATTTTTTTGCTCCATCGAAACCACAGCTGCTCTGGGACCAGGGGAGCTGAGAGCAGAGGCGCTGCCCTCCTCATCTCTCCGAGCCCTCCCAGGGGTCCCGGCGCAGCTCTGGCCAGGCAGAGTTGATGTCCCCACCCCACTGGGGTGACAGTGACCTTGAGACAGACAGACAGGGCTCGTCCTTGCGGCCGAGGGGGCTGCAGCTCAGTGCTGTACCCACAGCCCCTGGGCACAAAGGCTCTGCTGCTTCAGACATGCAAAGGTTGGGGCATTCCCAGGGCCTGATAGTCTAATTCCTGCGAGAATTGCAACAACAGGAAAGGAGAGCTTTCTTGGAAGCTGCAAGATGACTGAAATCTATCGGGAAGAGCCAGGAGGCATAACCACACCCTGGCCAGGGAGGACCAGGCACCGTTTGGGTGTGGGTTGGGTGCACCTCTCACACACCGGCAGCTTCGCCCCCCTGCTCCTGCCCCAAGGTGCGAGGAGAGGGAGGGTGACATGAAGGGACGGGTGTGGTGGCAGTGTCACCCTGCGTGTCCTGCCCAGAGGCACCATCCCATCATGGGGCTGGGACAGCAGTGTCCCTGCAGGGCCAGGGCTGGCAAGGAGGGCACGGAGGCAGAAATGGGGCCCTGGGGAGCAAAGGGCAGCTCTGACGGCAAGGGGACACGGCGCTTTGATCCTTGTGCTTTAACTGGCCCTGGTGTCTGGTGGCTCCTCCACAGCTGCTGTGCTCATCGATCCTGAGCTGGCCCAGCCGGCACTCAGCACTGCTGATCTTATCCACAGATCTCAGATGCCTGCATGAGGCAACCCAGCGGCGTAAGGGAGTTCTCTCCCGTCCTGCTGGCAGCCGGGCGCCGGCAGTGCAAGAGGGTGACAAGAACGGGCGTGCAGCGAGGCGCCTGGTGTCACTGCAGCCAGGCTGGCTCATCAGGGCTGCTGGTCCAGGAAAGGCAGGGTGGCGTGGCTTCATTGGGGCAGCAGGAGCCAGCTCACAAGGCTGTACACAAGGACTCTGAAAGGTTCACCTAACCCCCAACGATGAACGTCCCTTGTTGTGCTGCTGATTCACCTTCCTAGCGTGGAGAGCAGGGGGAGAACTTGGGGAAAGCAGAGCAATCCCTTCACACTGCTGGCTCCAGCCACTGCAGGCACGTTTCTTGCTATGTCACTGCCACCTCTCCTGGGCACCCAGGAAAGAGCAGCCCTCAGTGCCTGCAGAGCACCCATCAGCTGGGCCACGAAGCTGGCTTGGCCTGCCGTAAGGCGATTCACAGAGAGCTTCCTTTCCTGGGCCTGGCCCCAGTTCAGAGTGTCTGCACAGAGCCACGCAGCAGTGGGAAGGCTGGGAGCCTAGTGGGGAAGGACACGGCTGGGAGTGCTTAGATTAGCCCCAGCAAGCACATTCAGAAAATATGGCTTTTTAGTTAACAGGATCAAGAAGAAGAACTTCCTGACTCATCTGCCAGGGTTAAGTAAGTCCAGGGGAGCATGCATCCCATTGCCAGGAGTGGCTCTGCCACAGCGAGCGCAGCGGGTGCATCTTCCCCCATCCACTGCTCACCTCACACCTGCTGCAAGGTGCATTTGAGACGTCACTTTCTCAGACAGCATTAGGAAAAATAACGATGATAATTATAATAATATAATAATAATAAGGAAAAGAGATATTAGCAAACCAAACACATCAAATCCATAAGGCTCTGCAGAGCTGCAGAGCAGAAGGGGGTGCAGAGGAGAGGAGCCCGGCTGTCGGTCTGTAGACAGCCTCAGCACGTGGTGGTTCACACACACAAGACGTTGTTTAACAACCGAGCGTTATTGCTATGCTTCCACTTCCAGTCTAATCATTAAGCTTTACAAGCCAACGTCAAACACTGCCCGTTCCCTCGCCGCGGGCGGCCGTGCTCCTCACGCTGTGCCTTCACAGCACAGGTCGGAGCTGTGTGTGCCCTTTGGACTCCCGAGGAGCGCAGAGCACGGAATAAATGCACCCACAGATCCCTGTCACACCCTACAGGCTAAGGGCGAGCTTACAGTGCGAGGGGGGAGTCCACGAGAGCCCCCCACTCCAGGAGGGGAGGGCAGGCCCTGCCTGGGCCCCCGTGGCTCTCAGGCTCACGGTGGCTCCAGCAGCCTGCTCAGTAAAAAATAGGAATACTGTCTTTTTGATTTTTTTTTTGATCATTTTGATCTCTTTGATCATTTTATATAAATACAAAGATTAAAATAATTTATCTCAACATTATTTCTATTACAATCATACAGTGTTTTCCCTTCAAAACAAGTGCATGTATGTGTGTGTGTATATATATATATATCTATAAGTGTATATATAGTATCTCTAGAGCTTCCCTCCCCCCTAAGAAAAGCAGCAGTGACTGAAGCAGGTACAGCACGCAAGAGCTGATCCTTCCTGCTCCAAGGCAAATGTGCCCAAGGAAAAGTGCAGGGCTCACCCTGACAACTCATCTCCAAGCACACTCCATTGGCATGAAGGGGGAACTGGGGTGCTGGCTCTGCATCCCCCAGGAGCCCCCCTCGCTGCAGGCGGCTCTGCCCGCCCGCACCGGGAGCACGGGGGAGGGACCGGCATGGGGGACTGCAACCACATCAGCTCCTTGGGCAAGCTGCTAATTACTGGTGGAGAGGAAAGGGCCCTGCAGCTCAGACAGGGTTGCTTAATTTACATACTAGGCACTACGGATGATGATTGCTAGGAAGGTATTTACACAGGAGAAGGATCATACTTCTCCCTCCACTTTTCAATGCTCAGTCATGGACACCGTGATCTCATGAAGGAGTTTGTAATCAAGATGCAACACACTGTGTCTATCAGGATTGTCTAGGAAGGACGGGAAGCAGCTGTGCACGCCGCAGCTGCAGCGACAGCCGAGCACACAGGGACAGGCATCGCCTCTTTCACCCTACCAGAGGAGACAAATCCGCAGCAGGACCTCTCAGAACCTGAGAGAAACAGCGATTTCCAGAGGCCAGTAGCCCCTCAGGGGCACAACACCCCCAGAACTGTGCCGCTGGGGCCCTGGGGCTGCTCCCCTCACAAACGTCCCCTGCCTGTCCCCGAGGGTGGGTGACAGCAGGGCCCCAGCACACCCGGCTCCCCCCGGAGCCTGCCTGGCTCACTGCGCAGAGGGAAACAGGTGGGAAGCATTCTGCAGCCCTGCCGGGGAGCTCAGGGCTTTTCTCCCTCACGTTCCCTGCTCAGAGCCCGGCAGGGCGTTGCAGAGCCCCCCGTGCTGCCCTGCACCTGCCGAGCCTGTGCGGGCACCCTGGGCACGGGCAGCTCCTGCCGGGGCTCCCTGCAGCCTGGCACCTGAGCGCTGGGGGCTCGTGGGCTCTGCACTGCCGAGGCAGCAGCTCCAGCTACCTCGGGGGCTGCAGACGCTTCCCACGAGAGCTTTCGTGCCCCAGGAGCTGCACACCTCGGCCGGGCTTCAAGTGCCTGAGCGCTGTCAGGGGGCTCTGCCCAGCGTGGCTTTGCTGGGCTCTTTCCAAACCCAGGGCTGTGTTTGGGACCATGGGAGCAGCTGGGGAGTCCCAGCCCTCAGGGCTGCCCTGGGAGAGCACAAGGGATCATGTCCTCCAAAGCCTGGCTAGCCACATAACAGCCAAAGAAAAGGTGCAAAAGCCGCTAATTTCTGCCCTGCTAGTGCAGCTCATACGCTTTGGGGTTTGTTTTTACCAAAGAGCTGGTTGGCGACTGCTGCTGTCAATCTCATAAAGCATTTTAATAGAGTATATAAATATTGAACTACAAAAATAGACAGCTCTGACTGCACGGGCACACTGAGGGTGAGTGCGGGCAGGCCAAGCCTCACTAGTCTATCAGGGTGATGTCTTTCAAGAGGTTTCAAACTGAATTGGAAGGAAAGAGAGTCTGATGCCACCCTGCAGCTCCCTCCTGCCCACAGCAGCCGCGGAGGCAGGAGGGTCCTGCGGGAGGCTGCTGCCCACCAGGCTGGCAGGCGCTGGGTCCCGGCTGGGCAGCCAGGCTGGCAGCCCACCCGCCAGGGTGAAACCTGCCCCTTGAGCTGCCCCGAGCAGCCCAGCTCCGGCAGCACCGAGCAGAGTGACCTCTGCCCTGCCCGGCTGCCAGAGCCCTCCCCGCTAATGGTGTTTCACAACAGCCAGGGAGCGATTGTAAAGCTGACAGTTTGGCTGGAAATGGGGCAAGGCTGCCCCAGCGGGGCGGAGGCAGCTGTGTATGGCTGCTGTGCTGAGAAGGACGGGAGGCAATGGGGGAGGACTGGGGGGCTGCTCTGCCCCCAGCAGCAAGCCCAGACCTGGCTGTGGATGTGACTGAGAACCACAATGCTGGTGCCGAGGACAGCCCTGCGCAGGGGGCACGGCTGCAGCCCTGCTCCAGCAGCACACGGAGCCCGGCTGCAGCGGCCGAGCAGCCACGGGGTGTCCAGCAGGACTGCCAATCCCGGCACTTGTCCAGCTGCCTTGTCCGAGTCCTGCGTGCGAACGCGATGAGGGGAAATCCGTCTTGGAGACAGCCAAACCGCTGCTCGGGGAGCGCGGGACAGGGCCTGGCTAGCACTGTCCTTGTGGAAGCGGATCCCTCCGTCACCCCCAGGATCGGCCTCGCTCAGCTGCCTGCGTTCTGGAGAACCTTCCAGGCGCTGTGCCCGGTGCGGGATGGCCAGGGCTGGAGGCCGGGCTGGCTCAGCGCGCGGGGCCGGGCCGTGTGCTGCGCAGCCCGCAGCTGCGGGGCCCGGCTCCCAGCACCGCGGAAAGCCAGGGAAAGCAGCCCGGCACCCACGCCGAGGGCAGCAGCAGCAGCAGGAAAATCTCATTTTAAAATGCTTCCTCCTCTCTCTTTCTTTGTTTTTTCTTCGCAAGCAGGGCACAGGCACTCGGACGTGTCCCCTTCACAGCCCGGGTGCTGGAAGCTCCCCCGTCCCGCAGCACTGCCGGCAGCATCCCTGGCTCGGACCTTCCGGGGCCCTCCCTGGCTGCCGGCGGGTGGGAGGCGCGGGCAGGGCTCCGCTTTCGGCCGCCCCTCCGTTCCACCGAGGGGATGGGGAAGGAGCCTCCGGCGCCCGGCCGGTGCCGCGGGGCTCAGGCCTCTCCGGCCGCTCGGGCCGCGCCGCGCCCTCGCCGCCTACTCCTGGGCCCGGGGGGCACCGCGGGCACCGTGGGCACCGGAGCCCTGCCTCTTGCCGGGCTCGCCCTTGGCCGACCTGGCCCTGGCCGCCGGCTCCTGCCGGGGGGGCCGCTGGCCGCGGGAGGCCGCGGCGGCGCCGGCCGAGGCGCGGGCCGGGC